TAAAAAATAAGGGTAGGGGAACGAAAAGAATCTAAATGTTTGTGTTAACATATACATGGATTTACAATAGCCACTGTTAATGTATTTTTTATTTTTTGATTTTTTTGAAACAGGGTCTTGCTATGTAATTCAGGCTGGCCTCGAACTCGTGGTGATCCTCCTGCCTCAGCCTTCTGAGTACTGGGGCTGCAGGTGTGCAGCACCATGCACAGCTATGTAAATGTATTTTAAAATACAGAAGAAATAAAATGAATAAAAGATGGAAATCTCATGCCTATAAAAGAGGTTTAATGTATATTCTATAAGTGAAAAGTTAAAAATCTAAAATTAAAGTCATTGCACATGTGTGACCTCAGACAGTCTGCTAAAATGACTTTGCTAAAATCCTGAAAACTTCCAAACTGAAGCAAAAGCGAGAAAAAAAACTAAAAGAACAGAAGAAAAAGAGGCGTATGGGGCACAATCCTTTTAACACACAAGTAACCCGTTTCCCACGTGGAAGAGACAAAGCGGGTAAAAGCAATGCGACATGAAAATGACCCTGAAATTTCTAAAACTGATCAAAGACAAATACATTTAAAAGACCACCAACTGCCCAAGTAATTTGGGGGAAAAACCCCACCAAAAATGACAACAACAATGCTGGCAGGCCCCTGTAACACTGCAGACCGCTCCCATCAGCGCTGTGTGTGCACGGCACCGCTGACGTTTCTTGGCTGGCTTTTGTGGGCTGTGACTCCAGGGCTGTTTCCAAAGCCTGCACAGTGCTGTGCAGCTCGGTCTGGCTTGTGCCACCTCACGACTCGTGTGGGACCTGAGGAGACGTTTCCTTGCAATGTCAGTTCTCAAGGTCAGTATCAGATACTGTTAAACCATGTATGCACAGGTTAGGGGCAAGCCCGGGAACTCAGACACAGCTTTGTGGGTTTCTCTCTCTCTCAGCTCAGTGATAAATCCAGTATTTTCAAATTCACTAAGCTTCCTTTTTGGTCTCTAGAGGGAAACTACACAGAGACTCTGAGTCAGGCAGCAGGAAGTGGGGGAGACAGACAGAGTGCGTATGTGGGGCAATGAGGTTGGCCCTGCCCTCTTGGAGCCACAGGTCCACGCAAGGGTGAGGAAAGTTGCCCTCCCTCAGAATTCTGGCTCCTGCGGGCTCCTGTCACTGCCATGGGACTGTTGCGGGTATGAGGCCTGAAGCAATGGAGAGAAAGGAAACAAAAATAGGGGACTTCTATAACTGGGCTTTTGGAGTTCTCTTTCCAATTCCTGAAGCCAGGTTTCTCCTGGTTCTCTTGCAGTTTGTACCACCAGTACTCACACTCAGATTTCAGGTTACCCGGAGGTCATCCTGGATATATTATAGAGAAAAAAAGATAGTGAATTCACTGACTGTGATGGTATTTTGAATTCTGGAGTCCATGTGTGATCTACCTGTTGCCATCTGCTTTTCGAAGTTCTCACATAGGTGGGTCATTTTTCTGTCCAGGTGTTACTGTTAAATTCAGTGGAAGATGAAGGGTGGCATACAGTTATTCCACCTGACCTAGAACTGCAGCACTTCACTTAATTTTTACCTTCATGCACATAAGAAGCAATCATACAGCCTGTGCTGGTATGCAGGAATGCCTGTGCTTTTGTTTGTTCTGGCTCATCCTAACTTTAAGAGTGTCTTACAATCTTTGGTTGTTTGCTTGACTCTGCTCTTGAAAATTTATTTCTAGAATAACAGACTGCTGTCAGCATGTACTTACTGGCTTTTGTCCAGGACCAAGGTCAAAATGTAAGGTTTTTCTGTGTTCCCTAGATTGGGAAACTAGAGCACAGTCCCCGTTCACTTCAGAGTAAGCCTTTCAAGGCTCCAATCCTCACAAATACTGGGAGTGTCCCAGCCTTTGGTGGGCACTAAACTAAGTCTCTGGGTTTACCAAACAGCTCTGTCTCTGAGCTACATTTTATGAATGGGAAAAATGTTCCTGGCCAAAAAAAAAAAAGGCATGCCTTTGGGGTACAGCCCCAGGAATGTGGAAGGCTTTGACGTATCCATGGTCTGGGTTTCATTTTATCTTTTTCTGGTGTCTACTACTGAAAGAGGCTCAGTCCCTCAGTTGCCTTTTCTATACTTGTAAAAGCCTGAGTGCAAAAAATGGCTTCCTTTTACCTCTTTGAGGTCAGATAGTGCTTCATTATCTTTTTAGATATTTTTATGCTTTTGTATACCTATTTTTTATCTTTCTCTTTGTTGCTGTCTTCAGTCAACACTAAAATTAGAAAGTAGACATAAATTTTTAAGATTCAGGTGCTCAGGTCATGGACCCTTTACATCAGAAGGCACATCTGGGCTGGGGATTTAGCTCAGAGGCAAAGCGCCTGCCTGGCAAGCGCAAGGTCGTGAGTTTGATTCCTGGTACCGGAAGAAAAACAAAGACAAAGAAGCCACATCCTTCTTTCACTCTGTGGGAGTCTCTGCTACTATTTCCTAAGTATTTTGTGAAAATATATATGTACTTACATATGTACTTTAAGATCTCCTAAATAGTGCTCAATTGTATCTTATCTTTTTGTTCTATAGTTTGAGGGTCCTTGCAATTCTTGCAAGAACCGTATGAAAAAAAGTTCGAGAAAATGAGGCATTAGGAGACTAATCGGTCCAAGGTGACACTGGGAGATTTCTTGAACTTTATTATTACTGATTACTTTGAGGGGTTCCTTGAACCCAAAGAGTGCTCAGCAACGTCTCCAAAACCTTCCCCCCTTTTTTGAGTCAGGGTCTTGTTAAGACGCCCAGGTTTGCCTTGAACTTGCAACCCTCACTCCTCAGCCTCCTGACTAGCAGGAAGTACAGATATGCTCCACCACACCTGGCTACACAGAACCCTCCCACTGAATGCTTTTGTTATGGCTATCATAATTTATGTCAACCTAAGAGCTGTTTCTTTGTTGTTACTGTTTTCCTCTAACACGCTGCTCTTGGTTCCCCCTATCCCCTCTCCAAGGATGAAGGAAAACAGTTCCCATCATGGTGGTCAGGAAGTCTCAAAGAATTTTTAAATTGCTGTATGCCCAGTTCTACAAGTCTTTTTTTTTGTCTCTTTCTTCCATTATTTTTTGTAAGATTTGTAGGATGACTGATTATGCCCCCCACCATGCCCTCTCAATGCTGGCTCCTTAATATTTGGTGATCTCTGGTTGAGTTCAAACTAATACAAAATGATCAAATATGGTTTCCTCTGGTATCATCTAAACATTTTCTTGGCACAGCTTTCCTTTCTTTTTTTTTTTTTTTTTTCCTCATTTATGGGTATTTTGCCTGCAAGGTTTTATGCTGGATGACTTCAACTCTACTTCATGGTAATGCCAGAGCTACTAAGCTTTTATTGTGGGCACCGTATCTAGACCAAAATGTTCCATTTCTACAAGTGTTGTTGTTTTTTTTTTCTTTTCTTTTTTTTTTTTGGTACCGGGAATTGAACTCGGGACCCTACACTTGCCAGGCAGGTGCTTGTGCCACTGAGCGATAACCCTGGCCCTCTACAAGTGTTTTACAACTATTTCTTTGAGACACTCTCTGGTGTTTTGCTTGGCTGAGTATTTTACCTGGGGCAAGGAGAAGACTGACATGTTCCTCCTTTTGCAGCACCATGAAACTCTTACCCTTTGCCACACCCAGTCTAAGGTTCTTGGGGATAATTGTATGCTCACCACTCAATTCCAGGGGCATGGCTTGCCCACCTTTCATATCCTTAAGACCTATTTTTCCTGTCTTTTGTTGTAGCACACTTTATTATGGTATCTCTATATATAATTTTTTTAAATCAAGAATCATCACGTGACATGGACAAAGAACTTAAAGGGAGGATCCTTGAAAGAGATCCTTACATGAGAACCCCATCAAATAGAGATGGAGAAAGTAAAGCTTGGAGAAACTAAATTAATTCCTCCAAGGTAACACAGAGAGCTCTGCTTTTATATTTTTCAAAATTTTGTACTCCTTTATTTTAACTTATAGGTTCACGCTTCTACATACTAGGCCAAACTCAAGGAACCCCAAGAACTGAAAGCTTGCTTATTTTATGCTAAGTTATTAATGGGGAAATTGTCAACAGACATTTATTTACCAGATTTAACATGACACAATTCAGTTAAAGGGACTCAAAAAGAGGAAAAATGTGTTTATCATTATGACTGTTTCATTTATCATTATGACTAAGCATAATATAAAAGTTCAGAGTGAAAAACTGAAACTCACATTACAGGCATAGTTTTTAAAGTCAATTCAAACTCCTCCAATTGGAATCTAAACAACCTAAGAGTCCTCCCTACTGCCACTTCAAAAGAACATTTGAATTTTCTTCGATAGTTTTCAACTAATACATTTTAATTCTGCTGCCCTTCTCAAAATTTCAGCAAAAACCCTATGGTGTCTAATGAAACGAAATGGCAATAAATATTTCCTAAAATTAGAAAAAAAAGTTTAGTTAAAAGTATAAGCTTAATATACTTGCTTTATTCAGACAGAAATACAATAAAACCACAACACAGGCAGTGCAGTCAACATTTTTACACAGAAAGGTAGAGTATGCTATTATCAGAAATCTTTAATTCACTAATTACTTAAGGGAATCACTTATTTTCCTATTATTTCAGAAAGTTAGTCCGAAGGTTAGAAGTAGACTGATCTGCACAGTAGCCGGGAGGAAGAAACCTGCCTACGACTTCTAAATTTGACTGACGTCATTCTAAGTTGTACCAATAGCCCTCCAGGTGAGTACCACATAATGCTCATTTCCTAAATGACTAAGCATAACTTAATAAGATATCAAAGTAAGAAATACAAATCATGAAAAATGAAAATTTTAGATACTAAACAAAACTATCCTAATAAAACCATAATAGCTTTGACAAAAGAGTTTACACTTGACTATCTTCCCTCATGGTAATGACTTTTTGCTTTTTCTATTAGCAAAAAAAGGTCGGGCAATTTTTACAGCAAAACTCACCAAAAATGTTGGTCTTCACAGTAAGTGCCAGATGAGTATTATTCCGCAAAATTTCAAGAGCCTTCACGAACGTAATATTCTCAAAATTTTGTCCATTTACTTCCATTATCTTAAAAGTATTTGAAAAATACAAATTAAACTGTTATTAGTTTACATCTACAATCTTAAAAGTTTAATAATGAAAAACTAAAATTAATAAAATATACCATAAGTGAACAAAAAAAATCTCTGTGAGAAGGTGGACTATGGTTTCATTTTTCTTTCCTATATTGCTATTTCCCTAAATCTCTAAATGTTTTTGAAGAAGTTATGATATTTAGAAAAAAAAGTTTTAAAAACCCAGGATGATTTATAAATGAAGAAGAAATGTCAACCATGTCAGATCAGCTCATAAAAACTTCTGCTTGTGTAAGAATATACAAATTTTGAGTATATTTTAAGTTAAGTAATTTCATGTAAATTTATTGCATTTCAAAGTACATTAAATCATTTTAGAAGCAGCACTCTAAAGTATATTTAGTATATTTTGCTGCTACTTACTGAATCAGGAGTCAAACAACAAGAAAGAGAAACAAGATGGGTTTCCTTTTCCCATGTGAACACTATGACCCTTTAGAGCAGGGATTTCCCAATTTGCATATAAATCAGAATCATATAAGAGGCTTATTAAAAAAAAATTCCAAGGGACAAAGGACAAAGATAAACATAAATAAGAAAATAAAGCAGCAAAGGGTGTAGAATTAAAGGACTGACATAAAAGTTCCAAAAGGATGAGAGTATAAAACAATATATTGGGAAAAGAAAAAAAGAAATTATACAGAAGTAAAATCCACACTTGAAAAAGACTTGTGTCCATATACTAAAACAGCTAATCTAATATCATACAATGATTATAAAAATTAAGATCTTTTTTAACATATGCTAATGAAAGTTCTTAACTCCAAGTGCAGAGAATGAAGATTCTATACATAATGCTATGAGGGTGGGAGAAATCAAAGGAGGGAGAGAAAAAATAAAGATGGATTTGGACTTCTTTTGGGGAACATTAAGATGGTGTGATACCTTCCTGTAACGTCAATGCTTTCAGGAAAAGTCATGGAACAAGGGAATTTCATAAACAAAATACCTGAAGAACAACCAATACTGTATACTGATTCTGGGATCCTGGCTATTAGACATTGCTAATGAGTAGTCTGCAGTAAGGACTAGAAATCTTTATCTTTAAAAAGCTTCATTAGGGAAAGAAGGGAATTGTAAACTAGTTTATATCAGTTTCTTATCTCCTTGTTTTACTGGTATTTTGGGCCAAGTAAGTCTTACTGTGGAGGATGTGCTGGGCACTGTAGGCTATTTAGCTGCATCCTTGGCTCCTAGGCACTATGTGCCAGCCCTAATCCTCAGATCACGTTAAAATGTGTATCCAGTGGCTGGGCGTCCAGCTCTGTGGTTGAGCCTTCACCCGGAATGTGCGATGCGCTGGGTTTGATCCCCAGCACCACAAACACAAGCAAATGAAACTGAACCGATCTGTCTATACCTAGATATAGACAGACGCAGATATAGACATGTACATCTGGACATTTTCAAATGGCCTTGGGGCAAGACAGTGCATAGGTTATGAGTCAATGTTCTGAAGTGTGACATCTTTTACGATACAAATATCCTCATAATTTAAAAAAATGATAGTATGACTCTTAAAAGGAAAACAAAGCTGCACTCTAAAAAATGAATAAAGACAATTTTAAATGGGGAAAGGTAAGCTTCCTAAGTGATTCTGATGATCAGTGAAGTTTTTCTTAAATCAGTGAGATTTGGGAAACCACCTTTGGTGTACAAGAGAAGAGAGGTTTATAGAGAACTTTGTTAAAGACAGATTCCTAAGAGGCGTGGTGACGCACACCCGTAATCCCACCACCCCAGAGGCTGAGGCAGGAGGACCACTGCAAGTTCAAGGCTAGCCTGGGCTACAAAGTGAGCTCAAGGTCAGCCTGAACTACATAGTGAGATCCTGTCTCACAAAGACCAAAAAAATAAAAAGAAAAGAAAATGCTATGGAAGAGACGTAAGTGTCTCCACTTTCAAAACTCCTAAGGGTGCTAACTCATACACTGATCTTTCTAGAATATTACTTAAATATTACCTATTTTAAAAAGCTCAGAAAAATATTTTGTTAAACAGGCCATGCTCACTTGAAGAAATATCAGATGAGAACAAAAACAGCAGACACACTTTATAAGAGAAAGCTCTAAGCGGTAGGTTACTTACCTGGTCACCACGCTTCAGTCCTGCATCGGCAGCTTTGCTACCAGGTTCTACTCCTTCAACGAAAATACCAAATCCTTTTTCACTTCCTCCAGTGAGGCTGAAATGCAGAGGTGACTCCCGGGAAGCCTTCTGCAGCACAACCTGTCTCCACTTAGCCTTTGCAGCACAGGCAATGTTCAACAGCCGGAGATGACCATTCATTTTCTGTAAGGCGGAAAAGGGCAAAATGCACAAAAACCTATTCCTATAGGCTTCTAAAAAAATCACCTAAGTTGCTAGAGTATAAACACACAGACTACACAACATGTGAGCTGGGATAAACAAAACTGAGGGAGAGGACACTTTCACCCCAGAGTACTTTCAAGAACAAGATGTCATCATACGATTTTTGAATACCTTTGGATAAATACAGGTTAGAAAGGATCTGATGGCTCATTTACAGAGGAATGACAAAAATTACTTCTCACTCCCTAAACCTCCTCTTTGCTTATGTCCTGGATGGTGTATAAAATGTTTCTAAACCGTTATTTAAAATCTTTGATGACCTGAACCACTTTTCCAAATAGTGTTTCATGTTCAAAGAGACATCTGAGTTTCTACCTCTTCTAAGGAAGGCTTTCTGTATTATTTTAGCTCTCCCCTAAACTCAGTAATATTCTAACTTCCAGGTTCTAGTACCAGGTTAGTATTCAATTATTCTCAAATAATGTAAAATGCAAATTTCATTTCCCTAAAAAGAAGCCACCCCACAAAAGACACTAAGTTTTATACTTGTTCCAATCCCACATAACTCCTTGGATTATTATAATTCAATAAATATTCGATAAGTGATTGTTTACAGGGGGAAAATTCTATGACTGTAAGGTGGTTTTCACATTCCAATGTCCCCTAGATGCTTACACAGCCAGTACCAAAAGAGCCAAATGATACTGGTGTCCCTTTATTCAAGTACCCCGGTCCCTGTCCACTTTCCCCACTTTGCATGGAGCGGATACACTGCTGAGTAGTCTACACAAACCAACAGGTAAAGAAAGGGACAAACTCTGCTCATTTTCTCTTCTTCATTAAACTCAATCCACTTATACTCTGAAGACTACAGTTCTTGAGCATTTGCTGTTTGTTTTCAGACTGAGACAATCATTAACTCATTATAAGCCTCATACACTTTCACTGAATTAAGAGGCTAGCTTTCAGCTAAGATTACTGAGGCATAAAATTAGGCACCTTGTCCAATTCACAGATCTAGCAGGTGGTGGAGTTTGACCTTAATACAGGCAATCTGACTCCTGGGCTATAATCTCAAACCACTTTGTTGAGTTATTTACATAATTCCTAAAATTTCAAATTTGAGCCAGCAACCCACCTGCAGATCAGTTTTACATCTGACAGAGAGAAAGAAGGGGTAAGTAGCTACTGTGGAAATTAAGAGGACCTTGAGGGAACTGTCGTAAGGGCTGTATATTTTTTAAAAAGTGAAATCACACGAAGCAGCTAAACCTTCAGTCTTAATGTAATTCTGATATGTAAGATATGTATTCAAAGTTCCACAAGTTCCAAACAGCAGGACTGGCAAGAGAATTCCAGCACGGTGTGAGATGCAGAACTTGTGAAGAATATGCAACATTCTGGTTTGGCTATAAAATAGTGTATATAGGAAAAAGGCTAAAAATGTATGTGAGGAACATCAATACACAGTAACTACCTTGGTAGGAATTAATTTACTGACAGAAACATCAACATGCAGCATTTACAGTTTTAAAACTGTCTTTGAGTCACACAATGGACTAGAAGGAAGACAAACTAGACCTAAGAGCAGCTGGCAGCCTACTTTACCAGATCAGGGATAATGAAATCGTAACGCCCTAAACTGGGGTGGAAAAGAAATGGCTGAGAAAGAGGTCAGCAGCAAGTAGGCGCACGCGCATGTGCCTGTGCACGCCTAAGTCCTGAGAGGACGACTTGAGAAACCGACTGGACTCTGGCGACCAAACTCAAGGAAGAGAAAGGGAGCCACACACAAGACGACCGTTTAAAAGCCTGGGAAACGAAGGGATAACAATGCTAGTCTTAAACGACAACGAAAGAGCCGAGAGGACATCTGTCTGGGTTGCGATGGCAGAGGAGAAACACGTCTCTAGGTCAGATGTGGAAGCTCACAGAATAGATGTCTGAGACACTGGAAAGGTGAAAACTGCTGCTTCTCTGAACTGCTGCTCTTGCTAAGGGGTAGGGAAGCTTCTAAATTCTGAAAAGATAAACTCTTTTGAGCCTTACTGTATCTTCCAGATTTTTTTCAAATTCTTCTAGAAACTGAGTCATAGCAGGATCACCTTCAAAATCATTAAAATGATTATTTACCCACAATAATACAATCCGCGTCACCTGTGGAAACAGAGAAGGCAGCATGTATTATGAGAGGCAGACTTGCTGCAAAGCAGATTCCAAAAGCATGTCAAAAGCCAAGAAGGAACTGAGTTCTTTGGCCAGCACCCTGACTCCGCCCCTTTCCAAACCAGGCTACTTCCATTGTTCAGTTTGAATTTCTGCTTCCTTGGATACACACGTGAACACAGGAGGACTCTGCACTCAGAGAAGATACAAGTTTTCTTGTTTACTCAAATGTACAAAGTATACAGGATGATACATTTTAAAATGCAAGCTTCTATTATAAATGTAGGCAATCATATTAATCAAAGGACCGTACTAGAATGTTTCTATAACCAAGAACATGTTTAACCACAGATGAACCTAATTTCCTTCACAGTAAATACTGATAATTTTTAAAGTGATAAACTGGGTCACTTTGCTCTACAATTTTTTAAAAAAAGTTGAAGATTAACAAATGTAAGTGATTTGCAAATATAGTCTGTCATTTTAGGTGCTGTCTTGGGTTTCTGGATTGTGTTGTTTGAAGCACAAAAGGTTTTAATTTTGATTAAGTCCAGTTTATTTTTTCTTTTGTCGTTTGTGCTTTGGTTGTCATATCTGAACAAGAATTGCCAAATTTTATTTTATTTTATTTTTTTGTCTTTTTGAGACAGGGTTTTGCTATGCACTTCAGGTTGGCCTCAAACTCACAGTGATCCTCCTGCCTCAGCCTCCCAAGTGCTGGGATTACAGGCCTGTGCCACCACGCCCAGCTTAACTGCCAAATTTTAGTCATGAAGAATTACTCCTATGTTTTCTTCTATGAGTACCATAGTTTTAGGCCTCTGGCCCATTTTGTGTAAATTCTTATATATGGTAAAAGGACCCAATTTCATTCTTTTGCGTATGGCTACCTGGTTATTGCTAAATTCATTCACTCTCTAAGCACGCCTTTATTTTTCAGCAACTGAAATAACTATATTTAATCGCAAAGGGGCAAGCCTGTAGCTTTTGACACTACAGTTTTCTAATTAACAGAATTCCACAATCTACCTATATCAGATTTCCTATAAAATGCAACTCAGAAAGATAGTTGGCAATTGAGATCCTACTTTTCCCATTGACTTGCTGAGGTAGTACTAGTCTGCCCATTAAATTTACGAAATATCCCATACAATAAGATAATAATCTATTTAAAACACCAATTTTTAATAAAAAAATTACAAAAAGGAAGATCTGACACAGACACAGAAGAGACTGTTTGACACTGTTTTCAAATGATTATAAAGTCTGTAATTCATAAAAATTAAGATATTCCTTACTCTGAGGTTGAAAATAATTTATCTGGTGACTATAAATTACTAACCAGTTAATGTTTTATTAATTTTCAGAAACAACTCAGTATTTTAGCAAAAGTACAAAATACTGTCATGTAGTTATCATGTTTCCTGCATAGCTATACCATGGCATTATTTCAGTTCTTGCCTTTTAAGACTCATTCACTTTCTTTCGTTTCTATCATGTTCACTTTTAACAGGCTATTCTGTCATAAATGTAAGTGAGCAGAGATATCTCTATGCTGACATCCATTCTTTAGGTGAACTGAATTGTTATTAAACAATCAAACTGGGTGTGGTGGTACCCAGCATTTGGCAGGCTAAGGCTGGAGGCTCTCCATGAGTTTGTGGCCAGTTTAGGCTATCGTGAGTTCAAGACCAGCCTAAACGACACTGTGAGACTTTGACTAAAAATCAACTGACCAAACAAACAAATCTATCAAACTGCAAAAGATCTCATTAGTAAAAATTTAAGTGTTAAAATCACTTTCATGTCCTTTATAAAAAAACTAACCTTATCTCTTAAACTGTCAATCTTAAACCATTCTAGTAGCTTGATTCCAACATCCAAAGGACTTTCAAGGAATGTCCTATAAGTTAATAGAAAATCTTCTATGTAAGTTGGGTCCACAATAGAATGTTCTTCTATTAAATGCATGATGAGACGCTCAGGTGTTGCCTAAAAACACAAGGACAGAAGGGATTAGAAAACAAACAACTCGGGATTCAAACAGTTTCTCTGTAGATGTTCCTTTAAAACTAGAGTTTCACCTTTAGAACCTTAGTACTGGGAGCAGGCAGTCTTTCCAGGTTGTAATTCAGCAGCACCCAGAGGTTCAGAGTGAGAAATGGGAGAGGAGTAAGTACCCAGCAGCACTGCACAGCTATACCTGCTTCCAGTGGCATTTCATCATAGCAGGGCCTTTGATTTATCGTTCTGCAGGCTGTTAGCCACTTCTATTACAACTGGGGACATGTAATGACTGTCCAGGACAAGAGGAGGAGGAAGTGAGAGTTAAACAAGCTTTCTTTCAAAGTTAATCCACTTATAATTTTCTTTTGCATTAGGCTATAGAAACAATATGTCAACACAAGATAGTCAGGTGTTACTGTCGTTGTTACTTTTCTCTTCCACCGTTTCTCTCTGCTGGCTGACCACCTTAGGAGGAACCCACAGTCCTACAGAAGTTTTCCCATTCAGAGTTTAAAATGCCTGCCTGCGTCCCAGTTTATAAAAGGAAATATAAACATTTCCCACTGCTCCTCTTTGAGCTTCTGAACCAACACCAACATATATCAGCCTTTGTGATTTTTCATAGGTAGCACATATATAGAAGTAAACAACAAAAAACCAAACAGAAAAAGAAACCCCAGCTGTTAAGCCTGATACAGATACCAACTGTTGTCATAACCCCAAACTTCACTTTGCTGCTTTCATCTGAAGAACTCGCTGTTCACAATTGTATAGTAAGCATACATTAATGCTAACAACGTACTAATCTAAGAATTTATTTACTTATAAAAACATATTCCCTGCTAACAAAGAATATAAATATTTTCTGTAGAAGGAAGCCAGAAATAAGACTTTTCATATAACCTACTTAAGCGCCAAGGAGACCATACATTACTGCTCTTCTTCTACCCTCCAAAACACTCTAAGCCTAAGCGTGAGCCATGTTTATTATCTAGATCAATCACTGTTTTCAGTCACTGCAACCTGGTTCCTAGGTCATACACAGAGAAGTCAAGGGTGGGATGTGGGCAGTGTGAAAGAGAGGCTATCATTCTGCGTGGCTAAATCCAGGACCACCTATGATGCACACTGAAACTTTTCTACAGGTAAGGCTCATGACTACGCAGGACATGTCACCAGCACACTCACTAGCAAGCACAAGGAGGGGTGCTTGGAGATGGGATGCATATAATGGTAGCAGGCAAAGGGGATGGGTGACGTGATTATATAGGCATGGTAGACTCATCATAGCCAACAAAATATGAGCAACTTCTGGAAAAGATATTTACAAACACAGAAAGGAGGTTATAGAAAACTGTAGTAAAGTACTGCAACTGGAAGTATTAGTATGAACTCATGGCTGTTAAACATATTTTCTAGCTCTGTCTGCTGAGAGGATCTAAAAACTATGCTACATCAGCAGAAATACAGTGAGTATCCAGATCTTGGTACATAAATGCTATTCTTCCACTGGAAGGACCATGAGCTCTCTGAAGAAATGGTGGATCCCAAAGCTAGAGCAGAGAGAAAAAGTTTATGTTGAGCTTTATTATTTGCCAGGTAACAAGGAGGCACGGAACAAGGATGTCAAAAGAATGCTTGAACGTCTCACAGGCCAAATGTCAGACAATTTAAGCATAAAAATAATATGGTAAGGGAATACAACAGCTGAGTTAGCTAATACAAATAAATTAATACAAGAGAAAAGAAAGCTCATCCTTACTGAATGACAGTTAATAAATACAGAAGACATTACGGAAATAGGATATCACCATTTCAGGCAGAAGTAGTCAGCAGCAATCAAGACTGGTGGGTAGTAGCTTAAACCTGGTTGTTACCATCCGCAAACCAGAGGCTGTATACTGATATTATCACAGAACATCTCCCCAGCACGCACTCATCAGTTATAAAAGGTCTCATGGAGACTTCACAGTGAGGCAGCATGGCAGACAGTCACCGACATGACCAGAACATCAGCAGTGCCTGGACAGACAGATCAGCATCGATGCTGCCTGAGCTAATGCATCGAGAAGGGCACATCAGCATTCTGGTGGAACTCCCCCCAGGGAAGAATGACTTGAGCATGGCAATGAAGAAACATGGCAGATCCACGCACAGGTATTCCTTGCTTAACAACGGTTTGCATTTAGGCCCCGACCCCCTTTTTTGGTACAGTCCTTACATCTTGGTAACAGAGCCTCAGTGTCTTTTTTCGGTTCTGCACATCACTACAATTTTAGGTTCTGTTGTACATTACAGCACTGCATGTAAGTTACGCAAATAAAAGCAAAGACATCAAGCTGGAGTTTCCTTTGGTCATTTCTTTGTTCTGAATAATGTAGTGTACATATCCTCTCCTCCAATGTAGTGTACATATTATACATAATTCCTCCTTTAGCAACCAGTTCATTCAACAATCTCATTGCAGGAATGTAAGGAGGAAAGTCTGTAAAGGGTTATAGCACAGGATACAAGAACTGTATTCTTTAAATCTGCTGAAGGTAGGAATGATAGGTAAAGAATGAGAAACTGGAACAGACTGAAGTGATATGACAACTAAATGCAACTGTGTTTCTGGATGTGATCTCGGAGCATAAATGAGAAAACCACACTGCTGGGATTGTTGATGAACACCTAATAGGGCCTATGAGCCAAATGGATTTATATCAGCAATGTCTACTTCCTGACACGAAGGACTCCATGCTGTTTATATAGGTGAGTGTTCTTGTTTGTAAAAGACTTGAAATATTTGAGTGAAAAGGCTTCACATCTATAGATCACTATCAAATGATTCTAGAGAAGAGTAATGATAATGGAGCAAATGCAGTAAACATTAAAAGTAGGGAAGCAGGCTGTGGTGGTGCACATCTGTAATTCCAGCACTCAGGAAGGTGAGGCAGGGGGACCACTGTGAGTTTGAGGCCAGCCTGGGCAATATAGTGATGTCAACGCCAGCCCGAACTACACAGCCAGACCCTGTCTCAAAAAAAAAACCCAAAAAACAACAAACAAACCAAAAAAAGGTAGGGAAGAACGTTAGACTCAGACATCTGAACATTAGACTCAGATATCTGATCATTAGACTCAGACATCTCTCTGATTTATCTCCTTCACTATTAAACTGCTCAATCTACAACAAAGAATGACACACTTATCTTGGAACCAAGACTGGTTGAAAAGAAAAACCTATGTGTTTATTTCTTCTCCTCGCCCACCTATACCTGCTCTCTTTCATATTCAGATGTGTTTACAGTGACAAGGGAGAGGGTGAGGAGTAGCGGAGGGCAGGATGTGGAGAAGGGAAACCAACACACTACAGGCGTCATTCGCAGAGTCTCCCTGTTTCTGACTTCACTCCTTTAGCCCTCAGAAAGCCCTTTTCCTCTCCTCCAGGCAAGAAAAGGGGGAGTTTGGAGAGCCCCTATTTTCAATGCTACAGAGATTCAGCGAGCACTCTGCCTCTTAATTTAGGACTCCACTATCAATGAATTACAAAATACATCTAAGGAAGAAAATATTGACCAAAATATTCTAAAATAATACCTTGCTCGTGGTGATATGAAATGATAATAAGTTATCCTTCATCATTACCATGTGTACAAGTCAGCTAGACAAGGCAAAGGCACCAACTCTATTTATAACAGATTCTAACATGCTACATAGTGAACTATCTCGAGCTACTTAAAAAAGTGGCTCAATGCCCTTCCAAAATCAGATAAAAAGCTTTATTCTACCTAATAGTAAACAAAAACACCTACCTTGATTACAATGTGTCCTTTCCTGGTTCCACTCCGGTCTAACTCCCGATGCTCATGTACCATAACAATTTCTCCCTCTTCCTCAACTTTATGGGTATTTTTTTCTACATGATTTAAAATTCTCCAATAATCCCGCTGGGCTATGCAGACAAACTGTCCGAGAACAACATGGGGACAATTAATGAACCTATAGTACATAAACACATCACTGCGCACAAAGGCAGAGCACAAAGGCAAGAAGTCGAGCGGCATCAGTCCTCTCTCATTCGATCCCGTTAGTCTTCAAGAAAATTCAAGGCAAAACAATTTATGCACTGAGAGACCAAAGAAGTCAATTCTGTTTGAATTCTGCTCTAAATGCAGAAGTGCCTACTTCTTCCAAAACCGACACTGTGCAAAGGAAACACGAAGCAAGAGTAAGTTAGAAACAACTAAGTTCCTATTTCTTTCCTTTGTTTAAAAATAAGATTCTGGGCTGGCTGTCACACAGAAGTTTAGCAAGCTAGAGTTTATCTGGCACATTTTCTTACAAATGTAAAGTGTGCTAAATTCTACAAATATCTGATGCAGATACAAAATCTAGTTTCCTTTAACTATCTAGCTATTGACCTTTCTAATTCTCACACAAAGCTATTTTATTTTGATGAAAACAAAACAAAAAACTAGGTTTAGCCATTTTAAATTAAACAAGCAGGAGTATTTGAGCAAAGAGACAAACTTACCTGACAATCATCTACTTTAGTCCTAACAATTCCATGCATGTACTGCTTATCCAGAGTGGGAGCAATTCCAAAACTATTTCCCATAAAGAGATTTTCAACTTTTCCATCTGGATGACTAATTTCTACAGTGCCGTTCAAAATAACATACCATGAGTCAAGCTATAGAAAAAAAATTAAGAATCTTTTAAAAATTATTTCATGCTAATAAGAATTTATCAAAATATATAACTTGCATAATTTAAAAAAGAAAAAAATAAGATCTGGTTCTATATTATTAAGTTCTCTATCAACAGTTCCCTTTGCCTTGTCTATGTAAATTAATGAGGTTTATTTTACTTTTTCATATCAGTCAACAAAGAAAATCAGGAACTTTCATAATTGGCCAAATTTTTGGAGGCAAATATGTTTAAGAGCACAAACCCTTGGAGTCTTAATCCAGATCCTACCACTAACCCGCTGAACAACGTTCAAAAAGTTATACAACCCCACGCAGACCTCGTTCCATTATTGCTAAAAAGGCAGTTTTTATTATAGGACTACTATATTAACAAAATGAGTTTCTAAATACTGAAGTGCCTACAACAATGCCTGGCATATAATAATCACTCAAAACATAAACTGTGAAATGGGAAGAAAATGTTCAAAGGAGAAGGTGGGGCACAAGGGACAAGAGAAAAACAAGGAAAAAATAGAAACAAAGCTTCTGTAAATAGAAGAGGGGCTGAAAGGAGGGAGAAAGAGTTGGAAAAAAGGCAAGATATACCATGTACAGGTACAAATTCTATATAATGAGTATTATAACTATGTATATCTAATCGTACCAATAAAAAGAAAAAAGTATAAAAATACTAATGACTTAGAAAAATTAGTAAACAGCTGAATTTAACAAAATAAAACATTCAAAATTTCTCCTAATGTTGAGAAGATATTGCCTTCATTTATACGGAAGTATTTAATTCTACAGGGAGATATATTTTTAAAGATTTAATGTGTATCAACAAAACACTACATTTTCCTGATTTAATAACCACCCTCTTTATTAGCCTAACTTTTAATAATTTTAATGAGATGTAAGGAAAATCTAGGATTTCCAGTTCTTGAATGGTTACCAGAGGCAGGAAGAAAGTTTTCAGAAGTTCACTTTTTTGGTTATTTTAATTATAAAATACAGTCATTGTTGAATTTGTGGATTACATCAACTACTTGAGAGGAGAGACTGTGTCTGATTTTTCCTACCACTGTATCACTGTCTAAAGCAGTACCTGGTACACAGTTGACACATAACAAATTTTCCTGGCAGGACTGTAGAAAATTAAAGGAAAACAAAAACTTAAGGAAAAGAAAATAAAAATCATTAAAAACCCTACTGTTACACAGCTAATAATTTGGTTTGCTTCTTGCCAATAATTAAAAAAACATTTATTACAGTGTTCATTTGTTCACCAAACTTTTTGGGGGAACATATCCTACGTGTCAGAAGTATTCTAGGAGGTAAGAAGAAAATACATAAATCAGAGCTAGAGATAAGACCTCTGACCTCAAAGAAAGAAATAATTATATTAAATATATAATTATAAAATAATTTGAGGAGCTGGGGCAAGAGTTCAGTGGTAGAGCACTTGCCTAGCATGTTCAAGGTCCCCCTTCCCTCTCTATTGGTATAAAAAATAAAAATGAAAAGGAATGATTGGAGAATCTATATAATATATTCTATTCCTATATAATGATTTGGTTAATTGTTGCCTTTTCTCAGATTATATTTTGGTCACATCCCATTTTTACTATTATAAATACACTGCAATGAACATCATTTGATATTACTGAGTTTTTTTTACATGATGTCCTCAGGAGAAGTCAAAGAACAGGTCAGAGGCTATGAGTACTTTGGATTCTAGGCATGTTAGTATATAGTAACTCATTTTAACACAGTAGTTCTGTCATAGAAACTTGTTGTGGCCGTTTTAGGAGTAGTTAAGAATTTCTTTTTCTTTTTTAGTTCTAATACCTTCCAACCCCCTTACATCCTTTCTGTACCTGTCTAAAAGATGCCATCTGAGCATTTTTAAACAAAATTGCCACATAAATGGTTCAAGTAGCCACAGTCCACTAGGAGGCACTGCCAGCAAGATGCTTCCTTCTTTTGAAAAAAGGTACAATATAGAAAAAGTATATACTTGATAAAAATTTTAAACAATAATGCTAGATAAAAATGTACAGATTTCTGAAAGCCCTACAACCTAACTTTAGCCAGGCATGATGGCACACGCCTGTAATCCCAGCACTAGGGAGGGTAAAGCAAGAGAATCGCTGTGAGTTTGAGGCCAGCCTGGACTACAGAGTGAGTTCAAGCCAACCTGAACTGCACAGTGAACCCTGTCTCAAAAAGACAAAAAACAAACCAAGCAATAAAAACAAAAAATAAAAACAATTTGAGAAATAAAAACATCTCATTCAATGACTATTATTTATTGAGTATCTATTCTGTCTAACATCCATGGCTAGGAAATCAAATCTAAAATAAAGAAAACCAAAAACTTACCCCTTCAGAAATTATAACTACCCTGAACCCAGTATTTATTTAAGACAGTTTAAATTTCGAAAGTCAGGATATATTTATGTTAATTAAACTCTTCTAAGAGCAGAATTAGTAAAAGTTAGCACCCACATTAAACGACATGTGACATTTATCTGCTAACCTACCTCTTGCCCATCTTCAAGAATGACTGCTCCAGCTTGCTCCACCACTTCAAAAATCATCACCGAGCAGAGCTCTCTCCTTACTGACATGGTCATGTTTGCAAAGGCAGGGAGCTGGTGCATAAATTCAAGTAACTGCTCTATGAAACACAGAAACTCCAGCATAAGGATTAAAGATGCAACAAAATCTACAACTCAAGTATTAGGAATTTATGCTGTTAAAGTAAAGTAACCAAGATACGATATGACTGTTGACTTTAAAACATCAGGTATGGTTATGCATACGCTCAACTCACATATAAACACGGGCACACTACCGGACACCAGGCTTCACACTCCCCAGACTCAGGTCTGCATGAAGATGAGCAATTTATCTAGTTTGTGGAGCCCAACACGCTACCCTGAGGTGCTTAAGCTAAGTGACCTTTTGACCCGATGGGCAGGGCTTTCATCTGATCTTATCTGGCTGGAATTTTGTTTTTCTTCTTTTAAATGCTGTAATACATGTCAGCAAGTACTGTAATTAAATTAGGACAACAGTGTGAATTCCAGATCAAGATTTGTCAAAGCAACTAGGTGACACTCTAGCCTAGTTTATGTTTATGGGCTCCACAAGCCATGCTTTGGTATACACATATGAAAATAAAGATAAACATAAGGGAAAAACACACATAAGCAGTCAGCTACAGGTTTCAGAAGACTCTAAGAAGCTATATACTGTACTCACAGATAATTGGAAGCAACTGTATTTCAACTTTTAAAAAAATTTTCTGAAAATAGCATAGTATATAATTCATCATTGAAAATGAACTTTCAGTTTCTGTGCTGATGTTTGTGCATGCGTTTAAACTGGTTATTTAACAATCTTATGCTTCAGAATGCCAAAGTCTACTGACTTTTTAAAAACAACTATTCACTTTATTGATCTTTACTAAGTTATGACTGCTATTAGTAGTCATTATCATCTAATTTGAACAATGTGACTATGATTAAATATCCTAAGATAAACTCTTAATTTAATCATAAAGTGTAATAATTGACACTGTCATAATTTATTTCCAGATGTTCCCCAAAACTTCACGCACTCATAGGTGGGGCTTTTGGGAGGTGACTGGATTATGGAAGCTGATACTCCTCCGTGGATTAGTCTGCTGATGGGTTTATAGCTAAACTCAGCCTGCTGGAGAAGGTGGGTCCCTGGGGATGCGGCCTGGAAGGGTCTATCTCCCTACCCTGCGATCTCTGTTTTCTGTCTGCCATGCCATGAGCAACTCTTCTCTGCCATGGTCCTCTTCCACGCCACCCTGCCTTGGGGCCAGCCCACTATTGAGTGGAACCTCTATAAACCGCCTGCAAGTTGTAGATGTTGAGTACTGTGTCTCAGGGACGAGAGAGTAACTAACACCGACAGTAAGTAACCTTTAACATCAGCATCTTTAGTATTCAATTTTCCAATTAGTAACAAGTTCCGTGAGAAATTACAGGAAGGAATATGTATAAATTTTAACCAAACACATTAAAAGATATATATATGTATGTATGTGTATATATATACATAAAAGATATATATACACATACAAACACATATGTAAATTTTTTCTAACTAGGGAAATTAAAATACAATTTTTGAAAAATTTTTAAAAAGCAAATTCAGACACTGGCCATTCCTGTAACTGTTTTAAATATCTTACAGACATGTAGGGAAAACTCAGTTTAATGCAATCAAAGCTTTCTTTTATCATCTGTAGCAGCCAACTCCAAAGATGGCTTTAACTGATCCTGGTCTCCTGACAGTCAAGCCTTTGTACAGCTGCCTCCCAGACTGTAGCAGGGTTCTTTGGAATGATAAACCACAGGCAGCAGTGATGATGAATCACTTCTGAGGCCGAATCATAAAAGATACCATGACACCTGTCTTACTCTCCCACGGACTATTTGCTCTGGGGAAGTCTTCTGCCATTACGTAAGGACATGTAAGCAAGCGAGGAAGGAAATAAGGTCTTGTACCAAAAGCCATGTGAGTAGCCATCTTGTACACAAAGCCTTCAGCTCAGCCCACTGAAGACTGAGATGACTGCAGCCTCTTGACGTTCTGCTACAACCTTATCTCACACACTGAGTCTGTGTCAGTTTAACACAAGTATCGTGTTAAAACTATTAAAATTCTCACCTCACTAAAAAACAACATAATAAATGTATGTTGTCTTACCCTTTAACTTTTAGAGTAATTGAAGTGGCAACAGGTAACTATGTACATTTACACATTCTTATGTGAACAGATATATTTCTTACCGATGTCATCATCGGTTTTGTCTGCAGGTTCTTTTTCAAGACATTCTCGAACAAGATCTCGTCCCTGCAATGGATCTGTTCGATCAATCTCTTCTTCTTCCTCCTCTTCATCCTCAGAATCAACAGGTCCTTCTGGAAGGCGCGTTAAATCTACATCTCCTACCTCACTCTCTGTAGCCTACAGAAAGAAAGTCAGTCATTTATTATTTTATGTCAGTATGAATTACCATTGTCAGTTCAATTACCATTACAACGTATATTGTACTAAGAATACAATAAGCAAAGCGGTTGCCTAGTATGCAAGAAGGCCATAGGTTCACTCTCTAGTACCAAGATAAAAATACAATGAAATGATATTTATTAATTTTTTTCTACCCAAAATATAGGCTTACTTTCCACATTGTGCTATTTAAGTGATAAATCGTGGCTAGTAAATTCAAATTTGGTCAGGAGACTCAAACATCACTAAATATTTCAGTTGTTTTCCAACAAAACCCTTGTATTTCTTGAAAGCACAAAGCTCTCCAAAACATGAGGCACAGGAATGAAGTACCAACATATGCGTAAGCAGCAACCTAAGCGGGTTTGTGGAGGTATCCTTTCACTAAGAGCGGTGCAAAGTCCAGTCCGAGAGATATTCATGTTAGCTAAAAGTAGAAGTTTATACGAGCCCAAATAAACCTCTTCTCCTTTAAAAAAATAAAAGCAACTTTGAAAAAAAAAGTACAATGATGGGTGTGTTTCAGCACTTTTCAGTATTGTACCTGTCATTTCCCAACCTTATTGCTGGATCTAACAGTGTAAAGAGCAGAGGTTAATCTTTACAGTAAACCTGAACAACTTTGGAAACATTAGTATCAGATCTACAAAAAGAACTAGCAGATTCCTAAATATTGTAAGTTAAAAGGTCACTCAGAAAACAATGAAAAAATTTTAAGAAAACAATATTGCCTTTAATTATTAAGCAGTATTTCTGACTATTATACTCTTTTTTTTTTATTTTAAAGATAAAAGGAGGGAAACATTAACAGACATACAACATTTTACACTCTTGACTCATACTGTAAATAAAAAAGCATGAGCTGGGCGTGGTGGCGCACGCCTGTAATCCCAGCACTTGGGAGGCTGAGGCAGGAGGATCATTGCGAGTTCGAGACCAGCCTGGGCTACAAAGTGAGCTCAAGG